CATTGAGTTTTCATTTGCTCTGATTAAGCAGTAAAGTGGGTTTTCCTTCCACAGACAGCGATGGGGCAAACTGCTTGGACCCCTGCCTAGAAAGCATGGGGAAACGGGAAAACCTCTTGAACCAATGCTTTCTAAGCACAGGACAAGCCACCACTGGTAGAAGGTGTAAGCAAGGAGCGAAATACGCTTTGTGTTAATCTGGCTTTTCAAAAAGTCTGGCAGGGAATTTGTGCAGATGGAAAATCTGCTTAAAAAACCCCTGCTGATTCTCCCCACCTGCGATTCCAAGCAACAAGCTATTTGCTAGACTTTCCTGTTCCTTTTCCAGCTGGAGAGTCTTTCAACAGCGTCCTCAACATGGGTGTAAACACTGTCTTTACTATATCTTGGCAATATTGTTGTGGTTTTCTATTGTTACTTAAAACATATAATGAAAAAGTAATGGCTGAACATTTTCTCTGACAATTTCTCTTGTACAATACAGCAAGTTCCTGGGTGTTGTTGTGGCTGAATCAAATCTGTCCCCATTCATATTTGTCCAGCTTCATTAAAAAGTGAGAAAAGACCAAAACGTCTTCCTAAGAAAAAGCATATTTCAAGACTGGATTGTTTAAAAATTAGGTTTTATTTCTACTGAAAATGTTACCAGAATGCCAAAAAACCCAAAAAATCTTTAAAATGTCCAGTTCAGCTTAGAAGGCTCTGGTACCATTGGACTATGGGAAACCAGATGTATAATTTCATCTAGTTCTCAAAATAAGGGCCACACCGGGGGGCCACCAGGGGGCGCATTGGAAGATGGCCGACAATAACATCTCTCCGACCCACACGAGGTAATTAAGAGGCTGATATGGGGAGTATGCAGCCTCCCTTACCCCCCCAAGGAGATGGGGGGGACTGCCTTGCCAAATGTGTCCATAATTCACCCCCGGAATCAAAAGAAGGGGGTGTGGGCACTTGGCACGAAGCCCTCGAGTGAGCCCGACTCTTCCTGACGCTGTCTCCAATTTGCGCACTTGTTCGCATTAGCTCGAAAGATATAATTGGAAATATATAATTGGAAAGAAGCTAATGCACATACATCAAGTAAAGATCGGGAGTAAAGACTGCTGATTAATGGATCTCTGTGAGCGGAGCGATGGGCTGGACAAATAAATCAAGTGATGAATCATCATTAAAAGACTGGTATGTTGAAGTGAAACGGAAAGGGGGGGGAGGAAAAAACTTTTCTTTTTTTTGCCTTATGTGAGTATTAATAAACCTCCCCTCCGGAGAGAAGAATCGTTGCAATTTATTAATCACAAGCAGGAGTTCAATAACTGTGTGGAATGAATTATTGATCAAAGAGAGGACTGGTAGAAATATCGGGGAATGGAGGAAAGTTTTATGACGCAGTTTCAAATGGCGTCTCGCTAAGACAGGCTTGCCTAAGAAGGACGAGGGGGAGGAGGACCAGGGTCATCGGAATGTGAATGTATGGTTATCGGAATGTGATCTTGACCTGGCAGAGCCCCCTGAGATATGTTTGGCAAGCCTGGGGAAATCAACGGACAGACTGAGAGAAAGTTCTTTACGGAGGTGTGGAAATGGCGTCTGTCCTTTATGTGATATGATTTTTGGAGAGTGTAAAACCCACACAGAGGATGTTTGTTTTCAACCCGCTTGTGAAGATTATCAGAGATCGCAAAGAAAGAAATATATGATAAAGACTCTCCTCCCTGCAAGAGAGGGGAGTGGTTGTGGCCGGGAGCCGGACTCCGCCTCAAGCAGGGGGCGTTTGCCCCCTGCCTCCCACTCACCTGGTGGCGCCCACGCCCTCGGCCAGGTGCCTTCAAGGGGGCGTGTACAGCAGCCTAAATTGCTGAGGCGCCAGCCTCCAGCCCTCACTTTTTGTCGTCCCGTCACGAGTCACCCACCCTCCACTCCCTTAGAGCAGGGTTTCCAGTTTTATTTTGGCCTTGCTATGGACCTTAGGTTGGTCGCCCTGGTTGTCCGGGGGGCCTGGTAGGAATTTTTCCATTTGGCATTAGGCCTTTTGGTTTTTTCGCCTACCTCGTAGCAATCGTCACAACTTTCGTGGTATTGGAGGGTAGGTTAGGCATTGGAATAATGTGTTGTGGTGTCGAAGGGCTAGGTGTGGCCATCGCCTGTGCCTTCAATTTTTGGGTATTCCGTTAAAGGAATCCGGCGGTCGTGTATTCTGTCCGATGCCTGCTTGGCGGGAGGCCATGGCACGACCCTCGGTGACATCAGCGGAGAGCTTATAGTTGGATTAGCATCAACAGGCTCCTCCTGGTGAATAAACCCCCTTTGTTTTTTAGACTCACCCCTCTCCGAGTGGGTGGAGTCAGCTGACGTAATCCAATGCCTAAGCCAATACCTTTTCACTTGCTGTAATCAATAAAGTTGTGGCCTTTTCTTGCCCATTAACCTTATATCACGTGTCCTTGTGTTTCATTCCACTGCGCGGGGTTCGGGTCCTCGAACCACAACAACAAGAAGATGAGGAGAGTAACAGAGAGACTATCTGGACAGAACTGGATAGAACTGTTTAATTAAAGCAGCAACATGAGTGATGTTTGGACCCCTTTTGGAGCTTGAAGTATGGGTACCCTCAGTAAAACTTTAAAAATCTGGCTGTATAATTTGGAACTAATGTGATTTGGAACTAATGTGATTTGATTGGCCTGTTAATAAAAATTATATTAAAAAAATATATAGAGAGTTTGTAAGTAAACCATTTTTAACTTAAGAAAACAAAAAACAAAAACAAAATAAGGGCCACACCAGTGAACCCTAATTTCCTCCCATTCTAAAATATTTCTAAGTGAACGGAATAGCTGTTTATTCCTTGACTTTTGCCTTTCAGGTGGATGGGCAGCAGTGTTAGGAGGGTGGTGAGACTGGTGGAACCCTCAACTTTCACTATTAAAACTCTTAGTGGTGTTGGGCCTGAAGTGCAGAAAGCAGGCGGTAAACTGAAGTCCGTATGGCAGACACTCCAATTTCATTAAGAGCAAACATTTGTCAGTACCACAAAGGACTCAGAAGATGTATAATCAGCAGCCCCTTTGGGCTATTATGCCAGTAGAGAGAATGAGATTTAATAACCAGAGTAATTAGCTAGCCCCAAATCCAGCAAGCAAATAAATAAGAGACACTTCTGAAGTCAAACATCGTTGGACAGGCAACACCCTTCTCGAGAAGTACCACAAGAAAAATGTTGACTGGGGAATTATTTTGTCGAGTGAAAAAATGGAGAACCAAAAAACGCAGTGAACCAGCAAGGCTAAAGCTAAGGTTGGGACTGAAATGGGAAATAATGCAGTCCCACTCAAGGTGGGGTGGGGGGCTTCTTTGAGAGGACATCAGGTAATGCCATAGCAACTTATTATACCACCCCCCACAACCCAGCAAAATGAATTTGCTTCACAAAATTATTTGCTGCACATATTGATGCTTAGTATATACCGAAAAGTCACCAGATTGTTCAAAATTCCACTGACATTTGTATTTGCCAAAAGGCAATGATCCCACCTCCCCACCCCAGTTATAATAGCAGGCATCAATATTAAATTTCAGGCTGTAAAATGTAGAGCCTCTGTATTGTTATATGGCCAGACTTAATTCAGAGCTATTACACTAAATTTAAGCCAGGGTTGTTGAGTGGTTAGAGCAGCATTAGCCAAACTAGAAACCTTTAGAGGTTTTGGACTAAATCTCCCAGCAGCCCTAAGCAACATGGATAATGGTTAGGGATGATGGATGTTACAGTCCAAAAAACCTGGAGGGCATCAGTTTAGGGAAGGCTGCTCTAACCAATCCACCACACTGGCTTAAATTTTGAGTAAAAAATTCACATTCAACCTTTGATTATTTGTGAATATTCATTCAGCATTTGAGTGATAATTTTCAGCTATATATTGAATTGGGAAACATAACTGTTTTCGTGCTTAAAATGGGTCATGTTTCAATTCTACTAGAGTTGTGTGCGGGATATCCTTAGATTTTGATTTTTTGGTGGAAAACAGAAATGTGCTACTTCCCTTCCCCCCATTCAGTGACATTGTTCCTTCTTAGCTACAGGAGCTTTGGTACCAGCCGCCCCCTCCCAGTCTCAGCTTCTTTCTCCTTCCTAAATGGGTCATAAGAGTGATCCCCCCCTAGCAAAGCAGGAGTCCTTTGATGAATACAATGGCACAACGACGTGATATATGCAAATCATATCTGACTAATAAAGAATAAAGTTACTGGGGCAAATCAGGGAGGCTGAGAATGAGGACAATGCTTCTGGGACATAGGTGAGCCCAGCCAATCAGGGATCACGGGATGAATAGAGCGACACCACCAATACCACACAGTCAATCAAATTTGTCAACTTGACGACATCACTGAGGGCAGACGAAATCCGTTTCAAAGAAGATCAAGTCAGGCAGCTATTTCTCAAGAAGTGTCAATGTTGTCGGCGAAAAGGAGGAGCTTTTCAACACTCAATCAATCAAAGTTCGAAAACTGAGTTGTTTTGTCTCATCCTTAAATTGACGAGATTGCATTCCAGCTGTGGAACAAAATTAGGCTGGCTCAGGAAAGCTGTATTTTATCCTGTAGGCAAAAGAGGCTATTATGCACTGCTGTGCCACAATTTGTTTGCCAAGTGTGTCTCACAAACAACACAACATTTTACTCCTCGTTGGGTTTCCCCCCCCTCCCAGAGAGCTGCTGACACGCGCAGCATCTTCTTCAGATCCCATTATATCTTTGCCTTTGGGAGATCTGTGGCTCAGATAATTACAGTATCCAATGCTACGAGTTTAGAAGAAAGGGGGGGGGGAACCACCTCACACACAAAGCAAGAAAGGAGCTCAACCAGTACTGGCGACACCCTCTGCAGAAAGTATAAATAGAGACCTGGTGGGGCCTGGAGCCTAGCAGTCTTACTTTACATCCAGCAGTGCCTCTTGCTTCCTGCTTAGCACTAGAGATCCTCCATCACCATCACAATGAGCTGTAGCGCAAGGCACACCGTCTTAACAGCTGGAAGAAGCAGCAGCGGCAGCTGCAACCTTGGTGGAGGGAGGGTGGGGGTCTCCTCGGTCTCCTCTGGACGGTACACTTCCTGCGGGCTAGGCAACGGGAGAGCCAACTTCTCTGGCCGGAGCCATGTCGGAGGAGGCTCCACTTGTGCCTACGGAGCAGGAAGAAGCCAGTTCTCAAGCGGAAGTTGCAGCGGGGCCTTTGTTGGTGGCGGACATCTTGGGGGAAGTGCCGGCTCTCATGCTGGGAGCGTTGCTGGAAGGAGCGGTGCAGTTGGTGGCGCTGGTGGTGGGCATGCTGGCATGGTTGGTGGCATGGGTGGCGTGGTTGGAGGTGTTCCTGCTGGCATAGTTGGTGGCATGGGTGGTGTGGTTGGAGGCCCCCATCCCGGTATGGTTGGTGGCATGGGTGGCGTGGTTGGAGGCGTTCCTGCCGGCATGGTTGGTGGCATGGGTGGTCCTGCAGTAGTTGGCGGAATGGTCAGCGAACCTTTCTGCGGAGGCATGTTCTCTAACCTTGATGGGAAAATGACCATGCAGAACCTCAACGACCGTCTAGCTAGTTACCTGGACAAAGTCCGGTGCTTGGAGGAGGAGAATGCTGAGCTCGAGTGTCGGATCCGGGAATTTTATGCCAAGCAAGGCCCGCTCTGCGAACCCAAGGACTACAGCCATTACCACCAGCAAATTGAAGATTATAAGAACCAGGTAGGGTGCCAGTTGACAGCCAACTTTTAGTCATTCTTGCACGCTTTCCTTTGAACTGACTACAGACAGCAGGCCTTGGCTTAAGCTCAGATCTGAAATGGCAGTGGTGTGAAGTCAATTCATGAAAGACGAAGGACTGAAATTCTCTTAAGCTTGTCCTTGGAATTCCCAAACTCGTTTAGTAGATGCTCTGTTTCCTTAAAACTCAGTATTGCTATTTTTCAATGTTGAAAGGTTTGTTCAGATGTGTGATGTGGACTGTACAAAACTAGAACTGTGATCAGCAAGACTTAAAAAAAAATCCTACAAGATGATTATCTTCATTTCATATTGGTGTACCACCTATGATGTTCCACTGCAATTTCTACTGCTATCATTCCAACTGCGTGGGAGCCTGTGTATAGTTTGGGTGGTTTGTGGTTGCATGGATGGCGTTTTGCTAGGCCCACAGTGCAGTAGCAGACTGTGTGGTGGAGCATCGGTGCTTACCTGTCCTCCTGAAAGTGGAGTCGCTGCTGCTTATTTGGAAGGAGTGGAGGTGGGATGATGTGCCAGGGAGGTTGGCATGACACAAATGCACTGTCAGGAGTGTGGATTGGCTTTGTAGATGTGCTTCCATCGCAGTGACCTCCCCACCGTGTCTCTCCTTTCCCTCCCCTTCCTGTCAATCAGCAGTAACTCATCTGTTGGGAGGTCAAGTGTGCACTGCTGCCTCACCATGTTGTCTGCTACTGCCATGCATGCACGTAAATGGCATACTATGTAGAAATGGCTTCTACATGTAGGAATTTAAGTGGTCTCCATGCTTCTTGGCACCCCAGCCCAAAAGGAAGCAGAAGGGAGGGTTGTGGAGTGCTGGGAACGCTTAACATGTGCAAGGCTGGAGAGGGGAGAATCCAGTGCTGACACAACTCCTGAAGATAAAATGGCTACAAGGTATTAATTTCTACCCACTTGTGATCATGGTGGCTTGCTGACTTGTGGTTCACCTGTGTGTAGATATGGAACTATTATGGACCAGTTGCACACACTGGCTGAAGACTGGCATGAAGATAGAGTAAGGCTGATAAACATCTAGCGTCGATTGATGCACTCTGAATCTTAATACTAGATCTTCACATGCAGGGGTGTTAACTGGTCTCTTGTTAACTTTTTCTGTACCCAGCTCATTTGTACAAGTGTGGAGAACAACAAACTCCTGCTGTGCATTGATAACAGCAAGCTGACTGCTGATGACTTCAGAACCAAGTGAGTACTTCTCAGTAAACAAGGGGGCATATGGAACAAATCTGTGTGCATTAGATGGGGTCCCATTGTTTGAGTGAGGGAATATTCTCAGTGGCTCAGGTTGTCTGCTGTTGGGACTGTCTGAAGATGGGGGTGTTTGTCCTTCCAGCCATCAGGAAGTGTCTATTCTGTGGGAATACACGGAGTTCTGCAGAACTGAAGGCCATTTCTGCTCTAGGGTGGGGAGCCTTTGGCCCTTCAGAAGTTTCTGGGCTACAGATCCCCTCACCTCTCATTATTAGCTATGCTAGCTAGGACTGATGGGAGTTGGAGTCCATCAACTTGTGGAAGTCCACAGTTTCTCCATTCCAGCTATAAGACACATGAGGGGGACTGTGACACTTTTCCTGGGGCAGCAAAGCCAAGTCTTGACAATGTGATCAGCAAACAAAATCATCTTGTTTGTTGGATATTTCCCTGCATTTCCTCTTTCTATGCTCCGTGGCATACAATCTCAAGTTGGAGATGCGTTTCCCACAATGTGGGAAAGCCTATCAGAGCTAGCAGCCCTCCTGAAGATCTAGGCTGTAAGAGCGATGATCACAATTGGCCTTCCCTGCGGAGGGACCAAAATAATAATCCTGCAACGAATAATGGAATTCTCATGCTCTGCTCTTTGCGGCTTAGGTATGAGACGGAATGCTGCCTCCGTCAGAATGTGGAGGCTGACATCAATGGCCTGCATCAAATCCTGGATCAGCTGACTGCCTGCAGGTCTGACCTGGAAGTGCAGTGTGAGAACTTGCAGGATGAGCTGTGTTGCCTGAAGAAGAACCATGAGGAGGTGAGGGACACCGTCTTCTCCTTTAATGAAGTCAACATGGAACATGTGGAATGATGCTTTCTTGATCCCAAGGGCATTTTTGAACATGGCACAGCTTTATAAAATGAGTAGATTGGATCTAAGATGTGGATAGCTGAGTGCATTTACAGCCACTGAAGAAACTTTGATCTATTAAGTGGCAGAGCATCAGTCACTAGCAAAACTGCCCAGAGCAGGACTGGGCAAGCTATGACCCTTCAGTGGTTGTTAGACTACAACTCCTATCATCCCCAGCTATCAGGACATGCTGACAGGGGCTGATGGGAGTTGGAGTCCAATGGAAACTGGAGGGCCACAGCCTGACCACCTTTGGCCTAGGGACTCTTCCTTTCACTTGCATAGTTAACATATCACTACAATGCAGGAGCCTCTTTATATTAAGGGGTATTCAGTCACATGCATTTTGAAGTGGCACAGCCCCAGAATGGCACTGCCATTCACTGTTGGTCCAGAGGATCCATCTTGTCTCCTTGAGACAGATCTGCTGCTTTGAGCCTTCATTGACTTCTATTATCATGATAGTTCTCATTAGAGAGTTCATTGGGGGTAGAATGGATAGTAGAAAATGGGAGGTGAGAATCTGCCATGGGGGTGGGCAGAAGTTTCATTTGGGTTGCAATCTTTTTTTTGCAGGAAGTCACCTGCCTGAAGAACCAGTCAACCGGCGATGTCAATGTGGAAGTCAATGCTTGCCCTGGACCGGATCTGAGGAAGATCCTGGAAGAGATGAGGTGCAAGTATGAGGCAATGATAGACGGCAACCGCAAGGAGGTCGAAGCATGGTATGGATCCAAGGTAAGCTGTACACCTCCAAGTCCATAATACATAAAGCAGAGGTACAACGGGGACTGTAAAGAATTCAAGTAAAATTGAAAAGTGCAATGGACACAGTCAGTGGTTAATTCCAAATATTTCAAGCCTGCTTGGATGTCAACCCCTAGACATGGAGAAACTATTTACACCTATTTCTAGTTGCATATGGGCTGCTTGCTTAGTTACACATTGGGGGAAAATACTCTGAATACGCTCATAGGCACTCTCCTTTCACGATCTCTTACATTACTACAGATATTATACATTCTCTATAGACTGCTCCACCATATCATGTTGGCCAAGCAAGTCTACTCTTAAGGGAAGGTGCTTTTTGGACAAATAGCCAGCATGGGAATCTCTGTCCAGATCAGGAGTCTAATTCAGGGGTGGGGCTTAGGGTGTTGTAAAACCTCTCCTTACTCTGGGCCCAACCTGCATCAGGACCTCTGCATCTGCAATTGATGCTGCCAAAAAGGATCCCATTCATTGGGACACTTCCATGAGTACTTTCCCCTTTGCATTGTCACATATTTAGAAGGAAGCCCCAGAAATACCCTCAGTGGGGGGAAACATAGGAAGCTGCTGCACACTTAGTCAGACCACCTGTCTTGTCTAGCTTAGCGCTGTCTAGCCTGACTGACAATGGCTCTTCCAAGACTTCGGGCTTTGAGATGTCAGGGATCGAACATGGGACCTTTTGCGTGCAAAGCTGAGCTGCATCCTTTCCCTAATTCCACACATTACAGATCGAGGAGGTGAATCGTGATGTCAGCACCAGCAGCCAGGAGATTGAAGAAAGCAACAACAAGGTCACGGAACTGAGACGCCAACTGCAAGCCTTGGAGATCGACTATGATGCCCAGTGCAGCCTGGTAAAAGAGAGAGCAAGAACTTCCCTTGGCATCATTGAAGCTGCATGCTGTTGGGGTGGCAGGGAGAGATAAACCACAGCAGGCAGCAACATGCCTTCATGCAATGAACTGGCTGGCACAAGCCACGACTGGAGAAGGGCAATGAGAACAATGATGATGGGGAGCTGGTGTGCTCATCTCTGCTCTCCCCTCTTGGGTTTTACTCTAGACCAGCGGTTCTCAAACTGTGGGTCCCCAGATGTTGTTGGACTACAACTCCCATCATCCCTGAGCTCTGGCCTTGCTAGCTAGGGGTGATGGGAGTTGTAGTTCAACAACATCTGGGGACCCACAGGTTGAGAAAGGCTGCTCTAGACTCTAGTTTCAGAATTCCTGGAGAAGGCTTTAATCCAGCTTCACCTGCTCTTCCTCCACCCCTCTCCTTGCCATTGTGCTTTAGTGGCTGAGATTGAGCCGGGCAACCCGGTGCAAGCTTGCATCGCTCTGTGCAAGGAAGTGTAGCCCCAACACTATGCTAATCATTGTGACATGCAGTGCATGTGGCTTTGCAAGCCCCAGTGATCAGCTATGACATCAGGTGATGGACAGGTTGGTAACCAGTTTCCCATGCCTGGGGAAAACCATGTTCACAGCCCAGCTCGCTTATGGATTTTTACTTACAGTGTAAATCCAATGAAAGAAAAAGAACATCTTGCAAGGGAATATTTCTGACGCTAGTCTGTGTCCCTCGCTCCTCCCTCCCTTTTGCCAACTATAGCCCCATTCATGCCATACATTTAAAGCACTATGATTCTACTTTAAACAGCCATGGCTTCCCCCAAACGATTCTGGGAGCTGTAGTTTGTTGTGAGTTCTGAGAATTGTTAGGAGACCGCGCCTCCCCATTCCCCTCGCATAGTTCCCCTCTCCTGTGAAGAGGGGTTGATAGTTAAAGCACTGTGGCAACTGCAGCTCTGGGAGGGGACTAGGGGTCTCTTAGCAACTCTCAGCACCCACAACAAACTGCACTTCCCATAATTCTTAGGTATGATATTGCTTTAAATGTATAGTGCAGATGGGGCCTAAAAGCCACATTCATTCATTCCACTTATATCTTTTGCCCCAATGAGCTGAAAATGGTGTACACAGTTACCCCCTCATTTAATCCCCACAACACCCTTGCTGAGTGAAATTAAACCCTTTTTATTTTGTATTAATTAACACAATGGTTATGCTTCTCTTCCACAACTGTACTCCTGTTATAAAAGAGAAATGGTGGGTTCTGTTTTGTTTCCCAGAGGGACACCCTGGAAGCCTCTCTGGCTGAAACAGAGCACCGCTACAACAACCACCTGGGCGAGCTTCAGGAGCGCATCTCCTGCCTGGAGCAGCAGCTGGCAGAGCTGCGCTCAGAAATGGAGTGCCAGAACCATGAATACACGGAGCTCCTGGATGTTAAAAGCCGGCTGGAGCAGGAGATTGCTACGTACCGCTGCTTGCTGGAGGGCGGGCAGCATGATATAGTGTAAGTAGTGTGCAGAGACGTCAGTCACCTCCAGACCGTCAATGTTTTGCTGGTGGGATTCAAGCGCCTACTGGAAATGTAGTTTCGTGCAGTTGAAGCTGATTAACGCAGCTTAACAAATGCACTTTTCCAAAAGGGACTTTTTAAAGGATGGGGGAGTAATTCAGGCCAGCGTGCGCTTAAAGACAAACCTACCCAATCCGCACTTCTCAAAACTGAAACACAGGCATTTTTCAAATTTTTCACTTTGCTGATTTTGCAGTGCAATTCTTCAGTCGAGTAACAACAACAACAACAGCAACAACAATCTATTATTTATACCCTGCCCATCTGGCTGGTTTTCCCCAGCCACTCTGGGCAGCTCCCAACATAATACAGTACTAAAAACACGATAAAACATCAAACATAAAAAACTTCCCTAAACAGGGCTGCCTTCAGATGTCCTCTAAAAGTCAGATAGTTGTTTATTTCCTTGACATCTGATGGGAGGGCATTCCACAGGGCGGGCGCCACTACCAAGAAGGCCCTCTGCCTGATTCCCTGTAACTTCACTTCTCGCAGTGAGGGAACTGCCAGAAGGCCCTCGGAGCTGGACCTCAGTGTCCAGGCTGAACGATCGGGGTGGAGACACTCCTTCAGGTATACTGAGTAATGTCTATAGAAATGTGTGCTCTCTCTCTCACACACAAAATGCTAAGTGCTTATTTTTATTAAAGCATCTAGTTCTTTTGGATGTGGGAACTCAAGAGTCAAATCCTTGCTCTGCTCTGAAGCAGTTTGGGTAATCTTGGGTGAGCCGTTCCTTCTTAAGTCAAACCCAACTCACTGGTTTTTTGTGTGTGTGAAGGCAAAAGCACTGCCCTAAACTCCTTGAAGGAACAGCAAGCACTTAATAAAGAGTTAAGCGTTAATCCTCGCCACTTATAACCTGATTAGTTTCAGGGCATCTATGTCACCTCTATGAGAAGGATCATACTAGGGTGTGGAACAGTTCACAGGTCCTCCTCTTTCGGCCCATCAATCTCTCCCCAGGCCTTTCCCACTTTCCTTGGCTTCCTTTCTCCCACTGCTGAGTTTAATCTATAATAAGATGAATAGCATGCAATGCCCAATTATTTTCAGATTGCAGCTCAGCTGTGAGGAAGAGGGAACATGACTAAGTCCGGCTGCCATGCTGCCTTTGGAGAAAGGGCTTAAAGGATCACACTCTTTTTCAGTGGACAGTTTGCTATGCTTTCATGCCGCACAGTGAAAAAGGGACCTCGTTTTTCACCGCACAGCGTGGTATCGATTAGGGTTGCTGCCTTATTATTGAATATAGGATTTAGCATCATGTATCCAAGTCATGGGAGGTAATAAGCTGCAATCAAGTCCATATGCTGCACAGTTCATTTTAGGACACGAATGTGCCCCTTCTCCAGGATACTCTTCAGATGCTAGATTTAATATCTTATTTGTTTCATAGATAGCCTGCGGTCCCCTTGACAAACTCAGAGTGCTTTGCATCAGGTTTCCAGGAAGTCTTTCATCCAGGCGACTTACATAATAGTTTCAGGACTGTGTCGCCTGTGGTCTTAAGACACACTTCGCCACCTCCTTGCTAAAGCTAAGCAGGTCTGAGTCCGGTCAGTGCCTGAATGGGGGACCCCTGAGGAGATACACACATACTGCCTTGGATTCTACAATGGAAAAAAGATAGAAAATACATGTAAGCAAGTTAATAAAAAAAGACAAATAAGCTGTTCCCTAAGCATCAGATCTCCCATCAGATGTTGAGAAGTGGATGTTGAGAACTTTCATGGATGCTTTAGTGATGATTCTGGCATTGCAGGAGGTTGGACTAGATGACTCTCAGGGTCCCTTCCGATTCTACGATTCTGTGACTAAGTGCAGGTGCAAGTGATTCTTACACCCACACAATCTTCTCCAGCTTATAAGGAAATATTCAGCTTAGATAGAACAGCAGCTGATGGCCGATGCACGGGGCTGGGGCCTTCCTGCTGCTGTATTTTGTCAGAACTGATTTGTAGCCTCGCTGATCAAGACTCTTCTTCTTTCTCTGCAGTGGTGGAGGGGGAGGAGCGGTTAGATCCAGCAGCACATCAGGTGGACGATCTGGCGAAGTTCGGACATCCCACACTTACGTGACCCATTCTGCAGGTCATGCCTGCCACGGGGGCCATTTACACCACTAGATCGCAGGAACGGAACGCATAAGGTAAGAAATGTCCCCCATTCTGTTCTAGCCTTTGCATCCCCAACGCCTATAAGGAAATGGGGGTGGGGGAACTCTGAAGCATTTGGTCCCTGTGTCATGTGCTGGCACAAAAGCAGTGCCTGGGGTAGAACCAGGTCCTCCAAAAGCACTGAAATCAGGAGTGGGGAACCTGTGGCCCTCCAGATGTTGATTACTGGCCATGCTGGAGGCCAATAGGGGTTAGAGTCCAACAACATCTGGAAGGCCGTTGATTCTGGATTGAGTTGAAATTCTGACTGAGGTTCAAGCAGATGGTGGTGTAAGAACAGGCCAAAGATCAGAGCTATGATGTTTTGTGTATGTATTATTATTTACAGCAAGTAAAATGTCTTAAGCCCTGCCTATGGGCTTGCAATTAAAAAAATATGTCAAGGAAGGAAAAATGGATGGGAAGGAAAGAGGAAGATAAGCAAATTCAGGCACAAAGCTGGTGAAGGGGGCCCTGGAGTCCCAATCTCACATATGCAGTTATAGAAACCTAGGAGCTGACATACTTGAACCACAGAGTGATAGTTTCTCAACTGACTGAGTCGTGTGGTTTCCTTAGAGTGACAATTCCTGGTCCACTGGATAATGTCTAGGATCTGCTGCTCTAAAGCCTAGTTTCCATATGCATTTTTTTCCCCATTTGCATTCAGAGCTATAAAAAGACGCTATCTCTAAATGGGCCAATCATTGTTTCGAGAGTTTTTGAGTTTCTGGGCTTTATGGAGCAGAGCCGTCTTTGAGAATAAGGAAGTAGGAGAAGAAAATTATTCGAACTAACACAACTACACCTTGAGCTTATTGCAAATCTGTGCAGTTATTTTAGTTTCTGAGACAGTTATGTGTGTCTTAGAGATAGTGGTGACGGGGGCATAGCAAGAACCACGTGGGTGAACTGCCTGGTCACAGATCGGCATGCTATGAACTATTTTACAATACCTACAACTGGATAGTAATGGATCTCTGATTTGCTGAATGATGCAGTCATCTAAAATGTATTATGTGTACATGAACTTAAAATGTTTTCTGTTGAATGGAATGGTAATGGACAGCACCATTGATGCTTTTTTTTGCCATAGTAATTCAATCTTGTTTTTCCTTATCTTTTCTAGAAAACTGCCGGAGAATGGGCAGAGAGCATGCTACCTGCAAGAAGTAGCTCATCCAAGCTGTTGTTGGTCCATCTGCCCAGCGGTATCCTTCAAAGCTGATCAGATGCCCTACTTCACTGTCTCCTTTGCTACTTCCCCATTATTTTGCAGCATGCCATTTGTCCAGACTCTTGTTTCTCACCCATCATGCATCAGTGCCGTGGTTGGCAACCTGCTGACCACCGAAAACAAAAGAAGTCCAAAAAAATAAATAAACCCCTTGCTTTTCTCTTGATGCCACCCAAGGCCTCTGCGTACAAAATTGTTGTTGTTTTTCTTCTTATCCAAACGTTATAAAAAATCATATGGAGAATGCTGAGCCCTCCCCGCCAATATACCTCAGGTTACATACGCTTCAGGTTACATACGCTTCAGGTTACAGACTCTACTAACCCAGAAAAGTGCTTCAGGTTAAGAACTTTGCTTCAGGATGAGAACAGAAATCGTGCTCCGGCGGCGCGGCGGCAGCAGGAGGCCCCATTAGCTAAAGTGGTGCTTCAGGTTAAGAACAGTTTCAGGTTAAGTACGGACCTCCGGAACAAATTAAGTACTTAACCCGAGGTACCACTGTATTAAATTATCCATGGTGTGGAGAAAGTAGATGGGGAGGTTTTCTCTCTTCCTCATGACAGTGAAAGGTCAAGCTGAATGGTAGGGGAAACAACACCTTAGAGACTAACGAAATCATTACGGCAAGAGACTAACACAGCTAATGCTGTCTGGTGGGAGATTCAGGACACACAAAAGTACGTTCTTCACACAGTTCATAAAAGCTTCAGAAGTTGCCACCAGAGGATGTACTGATGGCCTCCAGATTGGCTGAATTTATAAGGGGATTAGACAAATTCATGGAAGATAAGACCACCCCTGGCTATTAGTCATGATTGGTATATGTTATTTCCACTATGGGAGGCAGGATGCTGCTGAATACAGTGTTGGGGAAAAGAGCGGGAAGAGGCTACTGTGCTCATGTCCTCCTTGTGGGCTTCCCAGAGTCATCTGGTTGGTCACTGCAAGAACAGAATGCTGAACTAGATAGGTTAGGTGTGGTAAACTTGTGGTCATTCAGATGTTGTTGAACTACAACTCCCATCATCCCTACCCATTGGCCTTGTTGGCTGGGGCTTATGGGATGTGTAGTTCAGCAACATCAGGGGGGAAGGTTCTCCACACCTGAGATAGGTCTTTGGTCTGATCCAGCAAGGCTCTTCTTATGGTCTTACATTCTTAGACAGCATATGCAGGCAGCAGTCACATTAAGTCACCATATTCTTCCGATTCATCACTTGGACTAAAGTTATTGCTGTCTCAAAGGGTACAAAGTCAAGTGTGTGTTTCTGAATGTGTATAAATAAGCATGCTTGTGTGTTAATGGAAGCATGTGTGTATGACTGCACAGGCATGTGTCTGTCCGTCCCTGAGTGTAGGTGTGCTACAACAACACACTACCCCTACATTAGCTGGTTCGGCTTCCAGCTGGAAGCAAGATAGACCTCCCAAAACAGATCAGGCAGACTTCAGAATTTCTAAGAGATAGTGACTAATTGTCTCATTCCTCACTGAGAAGCTTATGAATTTTCCAAGCTCCCATGAGTGCTTCTTCTCATACAAGTATCAGGCACTCAGATTGAGATGTTCCTTTTCTTCCAAGGAAATCCTTCAATTTATTCTCCAGAAGAGCCTGGCTGGATCTCAGACATCTAGTCCAGCATGTGCACAACAATGATTTGATTAGAAGGGGCTTCCAGATTGACAGTTCAAGCTCTGTCTTAGTCATGCGAGCTCTCAGATATCTTTGCAAAATGTGTCAACAGTGCTACTCGGATGAAAGATACTCTATCCTTCACAATAACCGAGCAATGGCTAGTTTATGAATACTCTGGAAGAGCCCTCACCCTACCACGTGATAAATACTGTCTTGTGAACCAACTCTCAGTAGCCCTAAGAGAAGCATCTTGCTAGCTTCCAAGTTACGTTTAAGGAAGAGCTCGTCAAAAGTGATCTCTTGAAATGCCAAGTAACCAGATTTCTTTTTTGTTGTTGCCACATCTCCATCATATCTATTTATGATACTTATACACCAAGAACGGAGAACCTTCTCCAGGGTCCACATTGTGTCACGGACAGCCTTCAAGGGGCTGTCTGCCAGGGATAGCATTGGCCAGAGGCAAGCAGTGGGCAGAGCAGCTCATTTAATTATTGGCTGCTTACACACTACCATGCCCTCCAACACGTTGCGACGAAAAACATGGACGCCATCTTCCAGGACCCTGCTCCCATGCAAGTCACATGACCTGCATGAGACCACAGCCCTGGAAAAAGCATTTTTGTGCATGGTGCCCAAAAACAGGCATTTTGGGAATACCATGCAAGATAGCAACCTTATTTCAGGGGCACAAAATCGTGTGAGATCATGGTGCCCAAAATGGCCGCCATGCTCTTGTGTGGAAAAAACCCCAGGATGTCCAGGTTTTACCGGGACAGTTGAGGGATATGCACCATATCTTTAAAGCACATTCAAGGCACATTCCTCCCTCAGTAATTCTAGGCATTGTAGTTTACCGCTCACAGAGTTATAGTTCCCAGGAACCAAAAACATACGACAGTGGCCAGAATTCTTTAAGCGGGGAAATTCGCTTTGAAGGTATAATGTGTACACAGCCCTTATCTCTGTACAGTGGGCCATGGTTCAGCCACCACATGGAAGCCAGAGGTTTCTACACTTGAATCTCTCCATGCAGACGAGCAAGAGGCCTTAGGACAGCTGAAGGACATAGCCCAGGCAGAAGAAAGATCTAAAGCAGGGTGTGGTGAAGCAGGGCTGGAGCAGGGTGTGCAACCTGGGATCAGGCCTAGAAGGCTGCATTTGACCCTCTGGTCTGAAGTTATCCGCCCTTGCTATAAACAGACATTTGTAAACTGTGGAATCCTCTCATATCTCAGCCCTGCATTCCTCTAAAGAACCTCCACTTTACCTCCCCTCTGCTAGCATGAGGCTTTTCTATTCTGTCATGGAGATTATATAACAGTAGGGCAAGTCTGCCGTGACTGCTTGGGTTGGAGGAATGCCAGCTGGAGGATGCAGGTATTTGTACTAAGAATGTCTGATACTCTTAAAGGATTACAATCCAGTGCTGTGTGATGCACTCCCGGGGTCACCACAAGTTCTCTTACATCAGATAACCATCACTCTTATTGTGTGCTTCCTGGAGGAATCAGCTTCATTGCCAACAAGTGCAGAATTAGCTATAAGATGTTCTCATTAGCATTTTGGTCAAAAGCAATGCTCACAAACATACAACGTGGAGATGTTCACACTTGCAACTGGGATATTTTGCTGGACTTGGCTGATTGCTTTTTAAAATATATATATAGTGGGAAGAATAGCTAAACCTTATTTACCTCCCTACCATGACTGCCACCTCAGCTTGGCAAAGAAAGGTGCGGGAGATCTCAGCAGAGAGTGCAATTCTTGGGCTTCAGAGCACCTGAGATGACTGGGCTGCTTTTTCTTTTCTATCTATCTATCTATCTATCTATCTATCTATCTATCTATCTATCTCTCTCTTTGCCCCAAAGCAAGGGCATTGGATAGCTGGTTGTTCTCTACAGGACAAATGTATCATCTAGCCGGTGTGGGAGCCGGTGTGTTGTAGTGGTTAAGAGCGGTAGTCTCGTAATCTGGTGAACCGGGTTTGCGTCTCCGCTCCTCCACATGCTGCTGCTAGGTGACCTTGGGCTAGTCACACTTCTTTGAAGTCTCTCAGCCCCACTCACCTCACAGAGTGTTTGTTGTGGGGGAGGAAGGAAAAGGAGAATGATAGCTGCTTTAAGACTCCTTCAGGTAGTGATAAAGCGGGATATCAAATCCAAACTACTACTACTACTACTACTATTCTTCTTCTTCTTCTTCTTCTTCTTCTTCTTCTTCTTCTTCTTCTTCTTCTTCTTCTTCTTCTTCTTCTTCTTCTTCTTCCAGCCATTAGTTGAGGTGGCCCCACATATGGAAACAGCATAGCTTCATTTATGGTGATGCAGGAGAATGTGCTTCCCTGTCCAAATTCTGCATCAGGGACTGTCAAAACCTTGCACCCAGAATCAAGGATGCAAATCACACAATTTGTGTAACATGTTCTGATTGTGACATCCAAGTGATTCATGGAATTCTTAAGCACTCCAGAAGAATGTGTGAATGAACAGGAGGAAAGTGTGAATATGTGAATGTAAAAGGGAGTGGGAGAGAGAGAGAGACAAAGGACAGTGCCAGATGGTCGGTGTTTTCAAGTGTGATTCAGTCACATACTGGTCAGTTCAGGTTGTCCAATCATAGTGGATTGGGTAGTCTTGTGCCACAAACACACTTCCCCCAAAGATCAGACTTTTGTGACAAGGATAAGGGAAGTGACTCGTGGTTCCTGAGGCAGTGAAGATGATGTGATCAGCAAACGAAGCCATCCTATTTGTTCGATAATTTCCCTGTGCCTGCTCTTTCTATACTCTGCAGCATATGATCTCAAGCTGGAGATGTGTTTGCCACAATGTGGGAAAGGCTGGTCTCAAAGCCTATCAGAGCTTTTGGTCTTGTGTGCCACAGTGGCCAACTGGATGTTTCTGGAAGTCACAGGCCTCCTTCAGTAGGGAGGGACCAGTCAATTTCAGTTCTTTTGGTTTCTCATTTTCCCAGTCTTAAATTCAGTCCTCCACATTTCTGCAACCATTTATGATTTTTCTAAAACAAAATCCCCATGAACATTCACCAGCATTTTAGTGCAAATTTCTCCGAATGAACACATTTTCCTGTGCAATTTAGCCCAAGGTACACATTTTTGCAAAGCAGTTTCCCCTAATGCAGGCATGGCCAAACTTGGCCCTCCAGCTGTTTTGGGACTACAATCTCCATCATCCCTGACCACTGGTCCTGTTAGCTAGGGATGATGGGAGGTATAGTCCCAAAACATCTGAAGGGCCAAGTTTGACCATGCCTGCCCTAATGCAACAAAATTTTAACGATATTTTCACAAACATATATGCATTTTAATGCCCTCTTTACCCTCGTATATGCATATTTGTGCACACTACTTCGCTGGAGAACTGCATCGCAAAATTCAGAGAAGTGGGAATTGCAAAGGATGGCTGTGTTTTGGTTCACATAATGCTTCGGAAAGCGTGGAATTGTAAGGTTTGCCTTTAAAAGCAAACTCCCCCCCCATCCCTACCTTGAAATAAAAGTTGTACAAGTGTCCTGAAGGAAAAGTGTGAGTAAAATCCCATGATGAATAATATTATCTTATTTTTTTAAAGAAAACAAGCATTTCGCATAAGCTGCAATTAAAGTAATAGGTCTGCCTCCTTGCCCAGAGGGGCTTTTGAACTGGGTCTTTGAGTCTTTGCTGACTTGCATTTAGGGAGAAGTTGGGATGCTGTTTTCCCGTTGGGGAAGTTGAGTTGTTTAGTAGGGCAAGGCAAGGAGATGGGGGTAGAACTGGGCTCTCTCATTTGTATTTCAAGATAGCATGGAATAAGGAACAAGAATTGCAAGAAGAACTGAAGAACTGGTGTGTGGCCTTGAGCAGTGCAACATTCCCCGTCCCACAGAGTTGAGTCTGTTCCCAGAACTGTCTCTCCCTCCCCACCCACAATCCCATTGGAGAACATTGCTGCTTCCCCTTTTGTCCGTCTCATCACATAATCAGGGTGTAATCCCCAGGGTGCATAGGGGTGTGGGAGAAATGTAATTCAGTTTGCATCTGAAGACCAACTCACCAGTTCCACACTTTCTGAAACAATACACAAACTGAAACATAGTCATCCTTTGAAATTCATGCTTCTCTGAATTTTGCAGCGAATCCCTCAGCCGAGTGATGCGTATGAAAATAGACACACTGTGGCAAAATGCATATACAGTGGTACCTCGGGTTAAGTACTTCGTTCCGGAGGCCCGTACTTAACCTGAAACTGTTCTTAACCTGAAGCACCACTTTAGCTAATGGGGCCTCCTGCTGCTGCCGTGCCGCCGGAGCACGATTTCTATTCTCATCCTGAAGCAAAGTTCTTAACCTGAAGCACTATTTCTGGGTTAGCGGAGTCTGTAACCTGAAGCATATGTAACCTGAAGCGTTTGTAACCCGAGGTACCCCTGTATCAGTGACAATAATATGCAAAGGTGCATTGTATTAGGCAAAAACTGCTTTGCAAAAACATGCCGATTGGGAGAAATTTGCATTGAAATGCTGATGAATTTTCATGAGGGCTTAAATAATTGTGTTACAAATTGGCATGCAAATGTGGAGAAGTGAACTTGAGATTGGGAAAATGAGAAACTGAAATTAATGTACTTTCCAAACCTTAATGGTAAAGCAAGACATTTTAAGATTTTGGCCAGAGCAAGGTTGGTGGAAGCGCCTTTAGTTATTTATCTTCTATACTGCCTTTCACTTGAGAATCGCAAGGTAGTTTACTATAGAAAAATAATAAAAACACACAATAACAAACAAAACAATACACCTCCCCCAGTTTAAAAGGTCATATATTGTTTAATTAGCCAAAGCCCTGGAAGAAGAGGCATGTTTTTGCATGGCACCTAACGATAAGTAATGAAGGCAAGCCTCTCTGGGGAGAGCATTCCACAAGTGGGGAGCCACTGCAGAAAAGACCTGTTCTCATGTTCCCACCCTCTGGACCTTCTGCTGACAGGGCACACCAAAAGTGTTTCTGATTGTGATCATAGGGTCCAGAATGGTTCATATGGGGAGAGATGGGTCCTTGAGGTATTGTGATCCTGAGACATTTAAGGCTTTATAGGTCAAAACCAGCCATTTGAAGTGGGCCCAGAAACTGGTTGGCAGCTAGTGCAGATGGGCCAAGATTAGTGATATACAGTGGTACCTCGAGTTACAGACGCTTCAGGTTACAGACTCCGCTAACCCAGAAATAGTACCTCAGGTTAAGAACTTTGCTTCGGGATGAGAACAGAAATCGCATTCTGGCAGCACGGCGGCAGCAGGAGGCCCCATTAGCTAAAGTGGCACCTCAGGTTAAGAACAGTTTCAGGTTAAGAACGGACCTCCAGAACGAATTAAGTTCTTAACCCGAGGTACCACTGTATGCTCAAACCATCTTGTCCTGGTGAGCAACCTGGACGCTGAATTTTGCACTAGCTGAAGTTTCTGAAATATCTTTAAACATAGCCCCATGTATAACACACTGCAGTAATCTAGCCTAGAGGTTAGCAGAGCATAGACAACAGAAGTTGTCCCTGGCCAAATATGGGCACAGCTGTGCCACCAGCTGAAGCTGATGGAAGGCCCTCTGAAACAGCCAGGCCATGTGAGCCTCAACTACCTGACTTTTAGAAAACATCTGAAGGCAGCCCTGTTTAGGGAAGTTTTTAATGTTTGATGTTTTATTGTGTTTTTAGTATTCTGTTGGGACCCGCCCAGAGTGGCTGGGGAGGCCCGGCCAGATGGGCGGGGTATAAGTATCAAATTATTATTATTATTATTATTATTATTATTATTATTATTATTGCCAGCAGTGGATCCAGCAGTACCCCCAAGGTAGCGAAATGACTTTGGCCAGCATCGATTCCGTCTCATAATATGGAAAACAAAAGGGTTTCCCCCCCCAGTTGCTTCAAGGAACTGCCGTTTCCTCTCCTTTAGAAAAACAAGGCAAACTTTTGATGATTCTGTACAACTTTAATAACATCTGGTGTGGTAACCTTGTTTAAAACGAGCAGTTGATGTGTGAAGAAACTGCCTATTTGGTGGGGTATCTGGAGGCAAATTGCCAGTGGGACGAAGGAGAAGCCAGCAGCAAACCTGCGAGAAGAAAAATCAACACTCCTTCCCAATGGTGACACCCTTAGCAAAAGGTATAAATCGAGACCTGCAGGATAACCGCGGCACACTCTGACTGAGCGTCAAACCTTGAGTGTTGGCTTCTGCTTTGGGTTGGATCTCCAAGTCTCTCTTGCTATGAGAAGCAGCGCCGTGCACAGTCCAGTAATCGTGGGAAGAAATAGCGCAAGTGTTGGCTCGAATGGGAGGTCCAGGTTTTCCTCTGTCTCTTCCAGCTATCACACCTCTTGTGGGCTAGGATGTGCCAGAGGCAATTCCTCCCGCTTTGAAGGTCGTTCCACCTATGACTATGGAATTGGCCAAAGCAACTTTCTGAGCAGCGGTTGTCGTGGTGCATTTATCAGGGGTGGCCATAGGAGGAGAATGAGTACAGGTAGCTGCCCCAGTGGTAACCATGGCGGTTATCCTCCATTTGGATATGGGGATGGGCTAGCTGAAGTCAGGTCTGATGGAGCTGGGAATGGAGTTGGCGGGACGGGAGGTGATCCCGAAGCTTGCGGCATTGTCTTTTCTTCTACTGATGGAAAGGCTGTCATGCAGGACCTCAATGACCGCTTGGCCAGTTATATAGACCAAGTGCGATGCCTGGAGGCTGAAAATGCTGAGCTTCAGTCCAAGATCAGTGATTTCCATGCCAAGAACAAGTTGGCTGGGGAAGCGAAGGACTACAGCCACTATTACCAGCAGATTGAGGAGCTTCAAAACCAGGTAGGAATGTCATCTCTCAGGAACACTCAAAGCATTCCTGGTGGCCTGCTTTACATGACATGATAAGCCCAACGATGGCTTGCTGGGGTCATGTGGATGTGTGGATGCCTAGATAGGGACTTGGAGCCTCTTTGCTTCTCCACAGTCATTTTTGGTACTGTGCTGAGCTAAGCCAAGGATTGACTTAGCACAGGCACAGGCTAACTCCAGCCCTCCAGATGTTTGGTACTAAAATTCCCATCATCCCTGACCACTGGTCCTGTTAGCTAGGGATGATGAGACTTGTAGTCCCAAACATCTGGAAGGCTGGAGTTTGCCTATGCCTGACTTAGCATGTTGTACAAACAGGGACTTGTGGCTAAGCTCCACAGGGATGGCCAAATCTGTCAAGTTCAGTTTCTCCCTGTTGCTCATTTTCCCATTCTTAATCTCAGTTATTCACAGTTCTGTATCAGTCTGTGATTTAAATAAACAGATAAATAAATAAATAAATAAATAAATAAAACACCCTTGTGAAAACCGAGCAGCATTTTAACCTGAATTTCTCACAATATACACGTTTGTGTGTGTTATTCTGCCAAATACACACATTTTTGTAAAGCAATTTCTCTGAAAATAATGCATTCTAGTATGTTATTTTTAGCAATATATGCATTTCTGTGGACATTTGACCCCAGTGTATGCATTTTAAGACCCGTCACTTGGCTGGAGAACTGCACTGCAAAGTTCAGAGAGCTGCAAATTTTGAAGGACGACTGTGCTTTGGTTCTTGTGCTGTTTCAGAAAGCAGAAATGAGGTAGGCTTGGCTTAAAAAGGGAACCTAATCAACTTGCTGCCCCATCCCTTGTCCTCACTAACCACAAGCTGTGGGAAAGATTTATCCTTGGCCACAGATCATGGTTGGTGAGGACAGTTCTTAACCATGAATACTGGTCCGGATTGAAGGCTAGGCCAAACCATGGCTTAGCCCAGTATGGCATGAGAGCAAAAAGGACTGGGGAGGAACAAAATGGTTGTTAGCGGCTCTGGGGAAGACCACCCCTTCTTGCTATCCTGGTGAGCCATTGATTGGCTTACCCCATTGTGTGAACCAGGCCAGTGTGTGCATTGTAGTTCTTGTGTTGTAGGCAAAGAAAGCCATCTACCCAAACCAGCTTTTTCATCATTCAGCTCTGGGCTTCATTTTTTGGTCTTTGTATAGATCAGGAGAAATTAACAGATTCCATTTCTTTCTCCCATCCCACCCCAGATTGTATGTACAACGGTGGAGAACAACAGTATAATTATCAAGATTGACAACAATCACCTGAACGTTGAAGACATGAAGCACAAGTGAGTTACGCATCGCTCTGAACGTCTCTTGCCTTTTGAGCCTGAAATCTTTGTGTCACTATTAAATACATATTTGCAGAAAACTTGGATTAGGTTGGGGAAGACGGCTGGAATGGGTACATAAACAGGGGAGGTGTGCAGATGTCTCTAAGACTGTAGACATCACACTAATTTATGTACTTCTGTGCACACTTTACCCAGTCACATGCATTTTTGTACAACCTCCTCGGTTGGAGAACTGTGCTGCAAAATTAAGAGAAATGTGGTTTTTGAAGGATGGCTGTGTTTTGGTTCATGTATTGCTTCTGAATTTTGAAGGGCCACTGTGTTCCAATCCCTGTCTTGTTTTAGAAAGTGCTGATGGTGCAAACTCACTTTAAATGAGCAATGAGTTAATCTTCTCTCCCATCCCTGCTCTGGAGAGGGGGTTTTATTGGAATTGGGGCAGCGGCAGAAAGACGTGAACTCCCTCTCCTTCTCCACCCCCGTCCGGAGGCTGCTCGGGTTCACCCACCATCACACTGTTATTTATTTAATAAGAAATGCATGTAAATTGCATTAATGCAATTAGAGTTGCATCTAGTTTAGCCCTTGCTAAACAATAGACCCAGGCCTGCTAACTTTGTCAGTAGCCACGGGTCTTTTGCAATGTCTCATTTAATTTAATGTTAAGAAACTCAGAGGAGGAGCACTAGCTGGGACAGAACATAAGGATCCCAAATTGCTTTTATCGCTCAAATCATACTAAAGCCAGCCTTTAGTCATTTCCGTTTATGGCAAACACCTACCAATTTTAGCGTGCCATGAATGAATCAGGGCTGGGCTTATCATGAAATGCATAAAGCTAATTTGTTCATTCTAGGATGGGAATCTTTTCCCATCCTATTTTATTTGTACCCTGCCCATCTGACTGTGTTGCCCCAGCCACTCTGGCGGCTTCCTGCATATACAGAAACATAATAAAACATCAAACATTAAAAACCTTCCTATACAGGGCTGCCTTCAGATGTCTTCTAAAGGCTGTATAGTTACTTATCTCCTTGACATCTGATGGGAGAGCATTCCACAGGGCGAGCGCCATTACCAAGAAGGCCCTCTGCCTGGTTCCCTGTAACTTCACTTCTTGCAGGGAGGGAACCACCAGAAGGCCCTCGGAGCGGGACCTCATGTCAGGGAACTGCCATCGGAGCTAGAGGCGGAGGGAAGGCTCCAAAGGGATGCAGGAGAGGGTCCCAGTAGGGAGAGAGGCAGCCCATCTGCTGGGGAAGGAAATCAGTGTAACACCAGTGGAGAAGGGGGGCAGGTGGGGGAATCGGGGAGCAGGCTCCAAGACTCTTCGCTGGAGACCAGCGGAGAGAGTACGGGTACTCTGCTGCCCACACCCTCCCTGCGCAGAAGACTTCCGCGCAGGGAGAGTAGGAGGAGACTTGGCGTCAAACAACTTTTATGCTGGAAAAGGTTTAAGAAACGCCCACTGACGGATTCTGCCAGCGACTGAGACAGTCACGATGCTGGAGGCTGTTCAGTCAGAAAGGGTTAACCAGGTAACCTAGCCAGGAGTGGCGGCAACTTACGCACGAGCAACCCCTAAACCCGTTACACCTCAGTGTCTGGACTGAGTGATGGGGGTGGAGATGCTCCTTCAGGTATACAGGGTCGAGGCTGTTTAGGCAGTTAAAGTTCAGCACCAACACTTTCAGTTGTGCTCAGAATTTAGTTTCTCCCATGCTCTGCACACAGACTTCTCATGGGCAACTGGTGGGCCACTGTGAGAACAGGATGCTGGACTTAGATGGGCCACTGGCCTGATCCAGCAAGGGCTCTTATGTTCTTACTGTGTCTCATTAAACATATAGCTCCAGCATAAAGCAGTGGAGCGTTTCTGTGGGTTTACCTGAAGTACTTCTGTCAGGTGCACAGATTTTGAAGGCCTGTAAAAACAACAACCCCAGCTTGCCAAGAAAGCCCAGCTAACCCCATCTCTCATAATTTCCCACCAGAAGACGTATGAGTTTTTATTCAGCCGGGTCTTGTGTCAAATTGTCATTTTACTGGCCTTACTTTGGTGTTTTATTGTGTTTTCATAATATTTGATCATCTGTGTTGTTATTGTTGTTAGCCCCCTTGAGCATCTTTTGGTGGAAATGCAAATAACAAATAAGAAACCAACACATTTTTTAAAAAATTACTGTTCCCCCCGATGTCTAGTTGGGACGTGGGTGGCACTGTGGTTTAAACCACAGAGCCTAGGGCTTGCTGATCAGAAGGTCGGCGGTTCGTATCCCCGTGACGGGGTGAGCTCCCGTTGTTTGGTCCCAGCTCCTGCCAACCTAGCAGTTTGAAAGCACTTCAAAGTGCAAGTAGATAAATAGGTACCAGTCCGGCGGGAAGGTAAACGGCGTTTCCGTGCGCTGCTCTTGTTCGCCAGAAGCTGCTTAGTCATGCTGGCCACATGACCCGGAAGCTGTCTGTGGAGAAACGCCACTTATAGATCGAGATGAGCGCCGCAACCCCAGAGTTGTCTGCAACTGGACCTAATGGTCAGGGGTACCTTTACCTGATGTCTAGCCTCTGATTCAGTTGTTGCATCTGAGCATGCTCATACTCAGTAGTGTTAAAATGGGGAAAGTGTCTTGAGTTTAATTTTTAGCGGCTGTACTGGCCCTGCAGAAATAAGCGTGGTTACTAAATAAATAGATTGCAGCTAAGTCTCAGAGCCCTTTCCTTTTTTTGTCAACATAGGCTTGATACTGAGTGTGGCCTTTGTGAGAACGTGGAGGCTGACATTAATGGCTTATACCCCGTTTTGGATCAACTGGCCAGCTGTAAGACTGACATGGAAGCTGAACTGAAGTCACTGCAAGAAGAACTGTCTGGTCTCAAAAAGAACCACGAAGAGGTACATGGTTGGCTCAACAAAATAAGAGCCCCTCGTTTTCATAAAAACAACGCATGCATGAATTGCGTACTTTATACAAAAAATTGGCACAAGCCACTTTTTGACACAAAGTGCCCCCAAACAGATTACATTCATGATTTCAAACACACACACAAATTCAAAGAGGATTGGGCAAGCAAATTCATAGAGGAGAGGGCTATCCATGGTAACTAGCCATAAGGTCTATTCTCTTTCTCCATGTAGGAAGCTATGCTTCTGAATACCAGTTGCTGGAAACTACAGGAGAGGAGAATTCTCTTGTGCCCTGGTCCAGCCACCTGACTGGCCACTGTGAGAACAGGATGCTGGACTAGATGGACCAATGGCAGGCTCTTTTTATGTCGTTCCGCAGGAAAGGTTGAACAGTTGATGCTGTGCGCAGCCAGCCCTTTTATAATACGGCATGTATATAATACGACATATAATAAGGCATGGTTCTCATCAAAGTTCTCTTTGCAGGAATTAATCTCTTTGCAAAAACTTTGTTCAAGTGATGTCAACGTGGAAATCAGTGCCTGTCCCAGTCGAGATCTGAAGAAAATCCTGGAGGAGATAAGATGCAAGTACGAAGCGACGATTGACTCAAACCGCAAGGAGGTTGCAGAGTGGTATGAAGGCAAGGTAAATAAATCCAGCCCCTGTAAGGAAGCAAAACTTTAAAAGAAGAAGAAGAAGCCTGATGGGAAAAGGGCAGGGGCTGCAGGAGTCTCCAGAATGATGCTGGTGGTACAATGCTCTGAATTGTTTTGTTATTCACTACTTTTACACCCACACCTTCCCCCAAAGACCGAGTGTAGTTCCTCCCACCTCCTCCATTGCATCCTCACAACAAGCCTGTGAGGTAGGTTAGGCTGGGAGATGGTGGCTGATTCAAGGTAACCCAGCAAGCTTCATGACCTTGCATGGAGATTGGAACCCAGGTCTCGCCACTGCTCTTCCCTTTGGCTAATCAAAGAACTGTGCAGCAGTATATCCAAAAGTGCAATGTTATTCAGGTTGCAATAACTAGAGCTTCTAAAAAAAGAGGGGGGGGGGGTCAAAGCATATACAATCCTGGCTCAGCATCTCTAAAATAGAAAAGAACGTGCTCTTTTCTTTTGTTCTGCCAAAGCCAATGTTCCGCTCCCCCGCCCCGCATACTGAATAGTACATAAAACCTCTGAAAATGCTGATGTTTCAGTCAATCTGTGTTTCAGCTGGAGGAAGTGAACCAGGAAATCTGCACCACTAGCAAGGAAGCTGAGGATGGCAACCATAAGGCCATTGAGCTGAAACGTCAGCTGCAGGCCTTAGAGATTGATCTCCAAGCCCAGCGCAATCTGGTAAGGAGAGCGAGTGTGGGATGCATCTTATTGCTCTATCCTTTTTGCAGCTCAGAGCAACTCACATGGTGGAGTCATGGTGGGTCTTCCATCCTGGGACTAATCAAGTCCACAAATCCCTTAGTTTCAATCATGCCATGCCATGGGGTCCTCTCCAGATATTCAGTGGGGACAGATGCTTGGGTGCACAAGGTGAGAGCGCTCAGTTAACTTAGGTCCAGTAGTGGTTGATGGGGCAGCATGAAGCAGAGTGGCATTGGAACACTGTTGCAATCATTAATACATAAAATAATTATCTCAGTGATCGAGCTGGGATATAAGGTTTCAGACAGTCCCTAAGCTACCCTAGGTTGTTCAGGGCTTTGTAAATTAATGGAAGAGACTTTGAACCTGGCTTGATACTAGATGAGGCTTCAGCAAAGGTGTCACATGAGGGGGGGAAAAGGGTAAAGGTAAAGGACCCCTGGACAGTTAAGTCCAGTCAAAGGCGATTATGGGGTTGTGCTGCTCATCTCGCTTTCAGGCTGAAGGAGCCGGTGTTTGTCCACAGACAGCTTTCCAGGTCGTGTGGCCAGCATGACTAAACCACTTCTGGTGCAATGGAGCACCGTGATGGAAACCAGAGCACACAGAAACACCATTTAGCTTTCTGCCACAACGGTATCTATTTATCTAGTTGCACTGGTGTGTTTTTGAACTGCTAGGTTGGCAGGAGCTTGGACAGAGCAACAGGAGCTCACCCCGTTGCAGGGGTTCGAACCGCCGACCTTCTGATCGGCAAGCCCAAGAGGCTTGGTAGTTTAGACCACAGCGCCACCCCCCCACATGTTGTAGGCCACGTTGAGTATCATTGGCAGTCTGTTCCTCAGCAACGGAGCAATGGATCCAAACTACAAGAAAGAAGATTCCACCTAAACATTAGGAAGAACTTCCTGACAGTAAGAGCTGTTCGACAGTGGAATTTGCTGCCAAGGAGTGTGGTGGAGTCTCCTTCTTTGGAGGTCTTTAAGCAGAGGCTTGACAACCATATGTCAGGAGTGCCCTGATGGTGTTTCCTGCTTGGCAGGGGGTTGGACTCGATGGCCCTTGTGGTCTCTTCCAACTCTATGATTCTATGAACTGGCATTCAGAGGAACAGCACCTTGATCCTGGGGGTAGTATACAGACATCATGGTTAGTAGCCATTGACAGACTGATTTGATTTATGTTCACCTATGTACTTTCTCTCTGGTTTCTGCATAGCTTCTGGTTCCAAAAGCTTTTCACTCATGCCCACACATTTAAGGCACTTAGGATGATGCCTCTTGTTCCCTCCTCACCCCTTTAGAGAGACACACTGCAAGTGTCCTTGGCTGAAGGAGAACATCGCTGCAATGCTCAACTAGCCGAAATACAGGATCGCATCTCCTGCCTGGAGCAGCAGCAGGCAGAGCAGCGCTTGGAAATGGAGGGCCAGGACCGGGAATACAAAGAGCTCCTGGATGTTAAGAACCGGTTGGAGCAAGAGATCCAGACATACCGCAGCCTGCTAGAAAATGTGCCAGGCGAAGTACATGCCACACCATGAAGGAACAGCCTAATTTCTTATCCCCTACCATTTCTGTTGCATGACTAGATTGGGACTAAGGTTAATTCCCAGCAAAGGCCAACTATGCTGAAATACCTGCATCTTAATTCTTGGTTTCAGTTTTTAATGGCTTCTGGTCATTTCTACTTCTGAATAAGGCTGAGCTGAAAGAGGGGGAGATTTTTGCAAACATGGAAAAACTCCTTTCGGTAACCTGCAGGGGACTGCAGTGAAAGGGGGAGAAAGTGTTCAGGAAGCATTGGTCTGTGTCAGCCTTCTGTTGAAGTGATCATCTTTCTGCATTTTTTTGCTTCTGGCACCTATTCTGCTAATCCACACAACTTGCTCATTTTGCTGTTGAATCAACCCACCTGTTTCTAATAAAGGCTAATAAAGGCTTTGCCGGTTGCAACTGAACCTGAACAGCAGCTTCCTCAATTCTGACTGTGTGATGGTGACAGTCATATGAGAAACCACATTTAAGAGGCATCACAAAATGACAGGTTGCGTTCCCCCTACACTTTGGATGTCCCCATAAAACTGCCTTAGACAAGACTAGTTCCAACGTGTCATTCTCATGAATAACAAACCATTACAGTTAATGATAATAATACAGATGGTCTTTGAGAAGGACAACAGGTGCAGATGAGTTAGGCCTCACTTTTCTGCTGTCATCTGCCAGGCAGGTTCTTGGCGAGTTTCCATCAGCTATCAAGTCAACATTAAACCCATCAGCATCCCAGCTTCTTTGTATGCCATGGTACTTCCAAACAGACCTGCTGTGCACCAGGTAGACCCACCTGCAGGCATGGCTTCCAAGTCCCCTTCGCTACCTAACAGGCAGCTGATGGCTTTGAGACCCCAGCAACCACATTCAACCCCACCTCTGAGCTAAGTCTACACAGCAGTGCAGAACTGTCACAGTTCTGGAGGTCATGCATTCAGTGGCGTAGTGTGTGTGTGTGTGTGGGGGGCAGCCATGGCGATGGTCTGGGACACATTTTAGGGGTGCAATTTGGGGGGGGGGAACAATTTAAGTTTAAAAGGCCACAAGAATAGAAAACCACCTGGGTGGGGGATGGGGCCTTTTTCCTTTTTTTTAACTATACACAGAAATCACGTGATATTGGAGGAATGCAAATTGATCTCTGGAATGATTTGAACGGCACATGGCTGTTTCCAGCAGCTGCAGGCAGGCCAGGTCGTCCTCTTATACACCTGCTGGGATTGACAAGGCATCTGACCCTCACCTGAATCTCATAGCTCTCCTGCAGCTGCCTCTGATTGGTTATCATTTAACTCTTGGGGAAAGTAATTAGCATCACACGTCATGTGCATGGAAGTTGCTGAACCAATTAACCAACTAGAAGGATTACTGTTAATAGCACCAGTTTTCATATAACTTGATATTGCTGGAAAATTTTGATGAACTGCAAAAGCATTTTTAGTTTGCTTTTTGTTGCCACCCTGGAACTTTTCTTTCTTAGTGCCACTTTGTTTTGTACGATTCCTTGCAAATGAAGGGAAACAACTTTTCTGCTTGTATAAGTTGATAATATAATTTTGGTTACTGGGGACAAACAAGATTGTACAAAAACAAGATTGGGTGCAGGCCTGGCCAGGACATAGGCATCCTGAGTGTGACAAAGGTGACCTGTGTGCTTGCTTGCTTGCTTGCTTGATTAACAGCTGTTGGGAACTTCAAGGTTCCTGCTCTCCCTTCTTATGGTCTTTGTACTGGACCTGGAGAGAGCATTCCGTGCCAAGAAGGAGGGCAAGTAGGCACTCTATCAAATGACAGGGCAGGAATTACACAGAGCAGGGCCTTGCTCTTCCCAGACCTGCTCTCTTTTAGCCTTTATTTTGGAACTTTATAAATTAGGAAGACTTTGGAAGACTTTGCACCAGGGTTTACACCAGCGTAATAGAGCCGGCCAGGATGCCAGAAGGGCTACAATTTATGGCTTTCTCCATTATATGCATAGCAGAGGGTGTTTAGTCAACAGTGCAAAGGCTGAGCTGAAGCATCCCCTGCTGGTTACCTGCTTTCAGCAATAGGGGGTCACTGTTTGGTAGCACCCAGTTGGTTAGCTGTCAGATTCTAGAGCTCCCTATTGGTGGCTCTTAGGTAATTCACAAAATACAGAGAACATTCATAAAACAAAGTGTTCATTCATAAAGCAGTAACACAAATCTCCATTGCTACATATTGGGTGTATTTTCCAGCAGTTGAATGTACAAGTTTATGGCCATGCTGTAGTGTAGTGCTTATGTGACTGTGAATAAAAGGTGGCTGGGCTCATTGTCTCGGGGGTTGGGGGAGAGAGGTGACAAAACTGATTTCCAATAAGTGCCCCCCCCTTATTTCCATAGCAAGTCCTTGAGTCTGTGCTCTGAATAGTGACACCAGGGACCTAGAAGGTGCAGGGCTTGTCAGTCCAACCCCTGCACAGTCTCATCAGGGCTGACCTTAAGGCTATTGGAACCATTGGGTCAAATTGGGTCTCTCCACACCTACCTTTCTTTCACTTGCAAAATCCAACCTTTAAAAGTCCACTGAAGAATGTGGAATGTCCAAGGGGGTGGGGAAGGGCTGGGAGTGTGTGGAACAGGCAGAGTGAGGCCTTGAATGCCAATACAAATGCTTTGAGATAACAGAATGTGCCTCTCAACTGGAGAGGAGACCTTTGAAATTTTTCTGGAACTTTCCCCCTTTAACATTCAGGAAGAATGTGAAAACATTCCTATTTACCCAGACAAACCCGATGAAAGAATGCTTTTAGCTGTAATTGCATATATATATATATATATATATATATATATATATCTGAAACTGCTTTTAGATGTTTTTCATTGCAACTGTTTTTAGAAAGCTTTAAAACTTTTGGAGTGTTTTCGCGGTGATTTTTTGTTTTGAAATTGTGTATCCATTTGCTACTTGAGGAGGAAGGTCAGGATTTAATTCAGATGATGAAGATGTTCTGGGTCTATCCAGCACTAATTTAACCATGTGATAGTCTCCTTTGGATACTGGATTTTTTATTTTTTTTAAATGAATCCGCTGTGACACCAAGAAAAGGGGATGAATTAGAATAAGGGACACCCTGTCAGCCAACATAATACAGTCAAATATATATTAAAGGCAACCCCATCATTAAAAAGAAAAAAAAAATGCAACACTAACATTTTCCAGGTTGTAGCCGCGCCTCCTGAACTGTAATGAATACATGAATTAAGTAAACATGTAATATAGAATTAAAATTTAATGCCTCTCTGTGTGTGTCTAACACGCAAACACAAATTAAAAGCCCACATTCATTATTTTTCCTATGTTAATTTCTTCCTCAACATTACTTCCCTAGCACATCAAAGACACGGAAAAAGTCTTCATCAGATGGTGCCTGCTAGGCATTATGTAAATCGAGCAAGCTCATTATGACAGGCAACAAGATTTTTTTAAAAAAGCTTTGCATAGTTGCTGGTGGAAGCAAAGCATTTCTCAGGGAATGGAAGAACTTCTTAGATATTCTGTTCTCCTGGTGGGACTGGGGGTTTAGCCAGGCATGCCCATTTCTAGGATACAGTTGCACCTTGGCTTTTAAACAGCCTAGTTCTTGAACGTTTTGGCTCCTGAACAATCGAAACCCGGAAGTGAGTGTTCCGGTTTTTGGACGTTCTTTTGGAAGCCAAATGTCTGATGGAGCTTCTGTGGCTTCTGATTGGCTGCAGGAGCTTCCTGCAGCCAATCAGAAACCACGCTTTGGTTTTCTAACGTTTTGGAAGTCAAACAGACTTCCGGAACGGATTCCGTTTGACTTCCAAGGTACAACTGCACTCCATTTGACACCCCCTTGGTTTTCTCCAACAATTAGCCAGCCTTCTGTGGCCACGGAGCATGCTTAGCTCTAAGAGGGTGCTTTTGTCCTCTTCTTGTTTCTTTCCCCACTTTTTTCTAACTTCCACAAACCTTTGGATTCATCCAAACCTGCTGCTATCTCACTCTTGTGCATGGATTGTGGGGGGTTTTTTTTGGTTGTGCAGAATCCATACCCTGTACAAATTACCAGCAGAGTCAAAGCACAAAGCAGGAATCAAAAGTGCACACAGAACACAAGTCAGGCAAGACGAGCATAGCTGCAATTACATGTCAAGGCATAAGTATATATGCAGCGTATTATTAAGGAATTAAGCCTTTAGTAGATTCTAGAACACATTAACCCATTTCACAGCTAGAGAACACTGAGAATGAAATTAGTCCTGAAAACAGTTAGTGAGTCCATGGCAGAGAATGCAAAGCCATGGATTCCCAGGTGTCAGAAAAGGTTATTTATGTATGCAACAACTGCGGCCCATATTTTGTTAGCCCCAAAATGGAAAGTGAGCAAGGTCCCAACTAAAGAGGATCGACAACTTAAGTAAAAAATGTTCATGGATGCAGAAAACTAAACTCCTACAGCAGCCTTGTGTTATTAAACAATTGCCTGGTCACCATAGCCAGTGCAGTTGGGCCAGGATTGGTGCTAAGTGCCCTGGCTGTTTTGCCCTGGTGAGCAGCCTAGCCACTGAATTCTGCACCAGTTACAGCTTCAAAACTGTCTTCAAAGGCAGCCCCATGTATAACGAATTGCAGTAATCTTGCCTAGAGGTCACCAGAGCACAGAAGCAGAAGATGGGCAATCCCTGTCCTGATTGGGGCATAACTGGGCCACCAACTGAAGCTGATGGAAGGCACTTCATTCCACTGAAGATGCTTGAGCCTCAAGGAGCAGAAATGGACCCAGAGGTTGCGTTGTGTAGATGAAGTGGTTTGTCGCAGACAGTTTGTTACGCAATTCCATCACGGATGCAACACAGTGCAATCAAAACAAAACAAAACATTATGCTAACACCTGTCCTCTTGCACAGCCACTCCCCTAAACCAATTAGGATTCCCTCCTTGCCCAGAGGACCTTTTCATCCATGATTTCAATTTTGGAGATATTTGCTGAGCTTGTACTTGG